ATGTAAAGTAATTCGAGCGAGTCGAATGTAAAGTAATTCGAGCGAGTCGAATGTAACGTAATTCGAGCGAGGTCGAATATCAAATAATTCAAGCGAGGTCCAATGTTGAATAATTCGAGCGAGTCGAATGTAAAGTAATTCGAGCGAGGTCGAATGTCAAACAATTCGAGCGAGGTCGAATGTAAAGTAATTCAAGCGAGTCAAATGTAAAGTGATTCGAGTGAGGTTGAATGTCAAACAATTCGAGCAAGGTCGAATGTTGAATAATTCGAGCAATTCGAATATAAAGTAATTCGAGCGAGTTGAATGTAAAGTAATTCGAGTCAAATGGAAAGTGATTCGAGCGAGTCGAATGAAAAGTAATTCTAGCGAGGTCGAATGTCAAACAATTCGAGCGAGGTCGAATGTAGGATGTGGAATGATTTGGTGGAGTTGTGCAAAAATGCTGCATGCTGCTTTGTTTATTTCATTCATGGGAGAATATTACATGTTTTTGTTTGTTCCATATATACATTTGAAAAGTTCTAGCCTACCTAGTCCCTTCATCGCTCGGCCTGGAGAAGTGGTCGATAGGCAGCGCGATGAATTATACTTGAACTTCGAGACGTCCCATTCGTCGCCTCATTAAAAACCTCCCCGATAAAACCCAATTGTGATAAAACCTGGGTGAGGGAAAAAGAGTACGACTTGGAGGGCGTCCGTTCTCAGAAGTTGAATTATTTGAGGTGCGCGATGTTCCAATTGTTTGGTAGTAGCCTCTATTGTTTCTAGTTGGAATGATCCTTTGTTTACTGCTGTTGTGATTTTGTATAGCCCATCCCAATTGGTTCCTAGTTTACCTTCTCTTGGGTCTTTGCTCGCCTGTGATTTGGCCTTGAGTACATAGTCCCCGACTTTGAGTGGTCTTACTTTGGCCTTTTTGTTGTAATACCATTCTGCTTGCTATTTTTAGGCTATCATTCTTATGTGAGCCATATCTCTTCGCTCCTCCGCTTCGTCGAGGTCTTGGTTTCTTTTCTCGTTGTTGCTTGGTCCGCTCTCATTAGAGTATCTCAAACTTGGTTCCCTGACCTCGACTTGTATTACTGCGTCAGTCCCATAGACTAGTGAATATGGCGCTTCTCCTGTGCTTGTTTTTGGCGTGGTGCGGTATGCCCATAGCACTTCTGGTAGTAGTTTCGACCATAGTCCCTTAGCGCGTCTTTGAGTTTCTTCTTCATGATATTTAGTATTGTTTTGTTGGAGGATTCAGCTTGGCCGTTGCCTACAGGGTAATTGACATGGAGAGTATTCGCTTGATGTGCCATTTCTCGAAGAATTCAGCGATCTTTTTCTCGGTGAATTGGGGTCCGTTACCGTAGCTGATTTCTTTGGGGATGACGAAGCGGCATATGATGTTCCTCCATATGAATGTGATAACTTCCTATTCGCGTATTTGGGCAAATGCACTTGTTTCTACCCATTTGGAAAAGTAGTTAGTTAAAACCAAAAGGAAACGCACATTACCTCGTCCCGCTAGGAGTGGTCCCACGATGTCCATTCCCCATTTGATGAACGGACATGGAGATGTGACTGAGTGGAGGTGCTCGCCCGCTTGGTGTATCATAGGAGCGTATTTCTAGCACTGCTCGCACTTCTTGACGAAGTCAGTGGCTTCCTTCTTCATGGTGGGCCAACAATAGCCTTCTCGTATGAGGCATCTGACGAGGGCTCGATTGCCGGTTGGGCACCGTAGTGTCCTTCGTGTACTTCCTTAAGGACGCATCTTGTTTGGTTTGGCCCTAGGCATTTTGCCAACGGACCGCCAAACGTTCTTTTGTATAGGTCGTGGTTTATGATGTTGTATCTGGCCGCTTGCATTCGAACCTTTTTGGCTTTTTTTTCTTTTCTGATGGGAGTATTCCCTCCTGCAAATACGCTATAATACGGTTGCGCTAGTCCCAAGTTAAATTTACAGAGTGTACCTCAAGTTTGTCTATTGACGAGTGGAGGAGGGTAACCACGTTTTCTTTTCTAATGTTTTTGGTGGCTGCTACTAACTTGGCGAGGCCATCTGCCTCGATGTTTTTTGTTTGAGGTATCTGGTCGAGTTGACATTAGTCGAATTCCGGTAGTAGTTTATGAATTTCTGCCTGGTACTTTTGTAGCCTCTGCTCTTTGATTTGGAAAGTCCCTGTGACTTGGTTGACAATGAGTTGTGAGTCGCATCGGAGGACGACTCATCGTGCTCCGTACTTGAGAGATAGCTTTAGTCCTGCAATTACGGCCTCGTACTCGGCCTCATTGTTAGTCATATCGGGCCACCATATGGACTGGCGGATGACCTCGCCCGTTGGGACCTCGAGTACGAGTCCCAAAAATCCTGACGCGTTGGAAGCGCCATCGGTGTATAAGACCCATAGGTCGGGTAACCTGGGAGAGGTACGAGAAGTTTCCTGCTCGACCTCAGGCATTATTTTGGCACTAAAATCGGTGATGAAGTCGGCGAGTACCTGCGATTTATCGCTGTTCGCGGCTGATATGTTATATCATGCTCACTTAATTCTATAGCCCACTTAGACAATCTCCCTAATAGCTCGGGTTTATGTAGGATGCTCATTAGGGGGAAGGTCGTGACCACCGATATTGGGTGACATTGAAAATAGGGTCTAAGCTTTCGTGAAGCTATGACCAATTCCAAGGACAACTTTTCGAGGTGGGGGTACCTTGTTTCGGCGTCGACCAGGGTTTTGCTAATGTAATAGATTTGACATTTGCGTACCTTTATTTTCACGGACCAGCACTGCACTTACTGCGACCTCTGATACGACTAAGTATATTAGGAGGCGCTCGCCGGGTTCTGCTTTGGCGAGTAGCGGGGGTGAGGACAAGTATGCCTTTAGTTCTCTTAAGGCCTCGATGCATTCTGAATTCCACTGGAGTCCGTTGTCCTTTTTAAGCACGTTGAAGAATTTGTGGAACCTGTCAGAGGATCGTGAGATGAACCTCGACAGGGCAGCTATACGGCCGATCAGTTTTTGTACCTGTTTCTTGCTGGTCAATACTTCGGGTATTCCCTTGATGGCTTGGATCTTGTCGGGGTTGACTTTGATGCCTCATTGTGAGACCAGAAAGCTGAGGAACTTGCTCGAGGTTACGCTAGAGGCAGACTTTTTGGGGTTCAGCTTCATGCCGTATCGCCTTAGTATATCAAAGGCTTCCTTCAAATGGTCGATGTGGTCTTCCTTCCTTTTTGATTTGACCAACATATTGTCTATGTAAATGGTCCTTGAATATCTTGGTGACCAGCCTTTGATAAGTCGCCCCTGCGTTCTTCAACCCGAATGGCATGACTCTGTAGCAGTAAGTCCCTTGGTGGGTGATGAAGGTGGTCTTCTCTTGGTCCTCTTCCTCCATGAGGATCTGGTTGTAGCCTGAGTAGGCATCCAAGAAGCTTAATAACTCGTGCCCCGCTGTTGCGTCGATAAGCTGATCGATGTGAGGCAACAGGAATGAGTCTTTCGGGAAGGCTTTGTTTAAGTCCGTGAAGTCCATGCACATGCGCCATTTCCGTTTTTCTTTTCCATCATGACCACATTGCGACCCATTGGGGGTACTTTGACTCCCGAATAGAACCGTTGGTGAGCAATTTCTCTACCTCTTCGTGGACTGCCTCGTTGATTCCAGCATTGAACTTTCTTCTGATTTGCTGTACTGGTGGGTAGAGTGGATCGACATTTAGCTTGTGCTTGGCAATGTCTTTCGGGATACCTGGCATATCTGCATGGGAGAAAGCAAATAGATCGGCTTTGTCAATTAAAAATTCATGAAATTTACCTGGTTTTCAGAGCTTATGGCCCATGTAAGCCTTTTTGATGTAGTCGTTGTTGTCTAGTTGGATGGGATCGAGATCTTCTACAGTTGACCCTGTGGCCTCTACGATGTCGGGATCCTTGATGACGTCTTTTTGTTCGTCGAGTTTGGGCCCCGACTTTGGTAATTGCTATGCTTTCGAGCCTATTCCCTTTAACTGTTGGGTGTGTGTACAATTTTGGGCAATGTAGTAGCATTCTTCGGTTGTGTGATGTTCGCCTCGGATGCTGAATATCCCCCACGGAGTAGGAAACTTGATTACTTGATATAAGCTGGACGGGATGGCCCTCATGGCGTGTATCCAGGGTCGCCCTATGATGGCGTTGTAAGCCGTGTCTTGGTTCATGACATGAAACGTTGTTTCTAGGGTGACGCCCCCGGCCAGAACGTGCAGTGTTATCTCTCCTGAGGTTCGCTCAACTGCATTGTTAAAACCTGTTAGCGTTATGCAGCGTGGTACTATCTTGTTTTCAAGTCTCATTTGTGCGAGAACTCGAGGGTGAATAATACACGCGCCGCTCCCGTTGTCTACCGTTATTCTTTTTACATCAGTATCTGAAATACGTAAAGTAATGACAAGAGCATCGAAGTGAGGAAATATCAAACCGTGGGTATCTGACTTATGAAAGATGATACTGTCTTCGAGGTCGTCATACAGTTCATGGGTGATCGACCGCTTCAGTTTATGTGTAGTGGTGAACTTCACGAGATTGATTGCTGCTTCGTCGCCTTCGCCGATGATCATTTGGATGGTGCGGGCAGGGGAGGGTGGCTTTGGAAGGCCTTTATGTTGTTCTCGTCCGTGGCCGAAGTTGGCTTTTCCTCGGTCGCTCATCAGCTCCCTTAGGTGTCCTTGGTGAAGCATGTTCACCACTTCTTGCCGTAGGGCTATGAGTCTTCGGTCTTGTGACCCCGCTCCTGATGAAATTTACAAAGGGCATTCGACTTTCTGGTACTTGGGTCGGACTTCATCTTTTGTGGCCACTTCACCTTCGGGCCGAGCTTCTCTAGTGCGTACACTATTTCTGAAGGGGAAACACAAGAATTGTGAGCAGATAAGAGTGGAGGCATACCTCTTTCATTTTGCTGAGTCCCTGTATGCGGCCTGGACGACCCTTCTGTATGGCGAAGAGATGGTGGGATGGCCATTATGACATATGGTTGGTGCCTATCCCGGTTGAGGCGGGACCTGAATGGTCTCTTCGGCCGTCATTACGACGGTCTTTCCTCGACTCCGTTTGGACTGACGTTAGCCGTTGGGTTGGTCCGTTGAGGTCGTCCTCTTCTGCTCTCACCTCGGCGTAATAGGCGTGGAGAATTTCTTCCCAAGTGGTGGGAGGATATTTCATGAGCCTTCTTAACAACTTTCTGGTCGCCTTCGACCCATTCCTGTTCAACCCATTTTGGAAAGCTACCACCGCCATCCATTCCGATACATTTGGCAAGCTCATTCTTACTATGTTTAACTGGACGAGAAAGTCCCTTAGTCCCTCGCCAAGCGATTGTCTGACGACGAATATGTCATTCACCCTGGCCTCCGCCTTCTTAGCCCCAGCGTGGGCGGTGATGAACTTGTCAGCCATTTCCTTGAACGTCGTTATTGAACGGGCTGGTAATTGTGAGTACCATGTTAAGGCTCCCCCTGTTAATGTTTTGCCGAACTTCTTCAGCAACACTGATGGTACCTTCTCTTTTGAGAGGTCGTTGCCTTTTATTGCTGTGATGTAATGAATGATGTGATCTTTGGGGTCTGTTGTGCCGTCATATATCTTCAAATATGGTGGCATTTTTAAGGTCTTGCGTATGGCATGTAGGGCTGCCTCCTCGCTGTACGGTTGTTCGACGAACCAGCCTACGTCCTGTTTTGGTAGCAGTTTCGGGGCACCTGGTATCTTATGAACCCTTTCTTGATGCTCCCTCATTTGGTTGCGGGGCGCTTTGTTCTCGTTCTCCATTTATTCCATTTTCTTGAGAATGGTCACAAGTGCGTCGTTACCTGCATCAACAGCGGTGTGAGTGTTACCTGTTGGGAGAGGAGCGGGAGCAGGTTGCTCGTTGGCAGTTGTTGTGGTATCCGCTTGTGCGACGCTTCTATTCGCCCCTTGAGCGGGTTTGTCGAGTGTGTTATTTAGAGTACTTGTCAACCACACCTCCAGTAGTTTTTTCACTATTGGTAGTGCTTCTTCAGTTGTGGACGTGGAGGCTCCCCTTTCGCGTGAAGCGGTTAAACTTCCATGAGGGGGAGGTGAGTCACTCCGCCTGGGTGTAGCGCTCGGCTTCACATTCTCCTCGTCTTCTCTGTCAACCTCATCGATGGTGTTCAAGAGGTTGGCAGTGACGTCCACTACTGCTTTCAGTCTTTCATCTCCTTTTCCTGCCATTGTTAGTTTGTGCAAACGAGAAAGATGGCTGCTGTCGTTTTTTATATCTTGAAGAAACTAAAATTTTAACTAGAAACTCCCAACAGACGACGCCAAATGTTTTACCAAAAAAGTGTTAAACCTTTTCTTAAAACGAATTAGTGAGAGAATAGGGGGTGAATCCTAGTTAAATATAATAACTACTAGATATGAAGACTTAATGTATTAATAATATAGGATCGTGTCCAATAATATTGAATGCCGCTTAAGAGTGCTCAATGATTGTCAATGAATGCAATAAAGAAAGCCAACAATAAATGTAGATAATGACAATAAATGTAATAAGGAGGAACTTGTCACCCAAATGTTAGATGACTTGTTTGATTCTCCTTCCTGACAACAACGTGGGGATAATATAAAATAAAGGTGGACAAAGGATCCTTGGATCTTGTGAGTAAAAGATAGATGTTGAATAGTGGAATCAGCGGACAAGACAACCTTTGTATATTCTCCGTAGTCAACCTTTACAATGTGTTCTTATCCCGAAAGTGAAGAAGATCCCTTTTTGTTCTTTATCTCTTCCTATTTATAGGGGATATTCCTAAGAAACCCTAAAAAGTACAACTGAGAGAATATCCAATGGAATATTCCTCCTTTCTATTCTAAACTTATTCTACCGTTGCTTCCGTACATTCTTTCCTTGACCTCGGCACTAATCCTTCCTAAGACGACTCCTCGTTATTGTGCCGTGGTCGGCTTAATCCTCGACCACGTCCATTTGCAATTATTAAGTTCAGTCCAAATTTTGACCAATACAAGAACAAAAGCGGATATAGGATTTTAGGTTCAGCACTGTGATGAGGGATGACTTTGGAGTATCAGTCCATTTACTTCTCTTGTTTGGCGATTAGTGTAGGCTTAGAATCATATACTCACTCCGTTCACTTTTACTTGACACGTTTTGACTTTTCACGCCCCTTAAGAAATAATAAATGAAGTGCATAATTTACCATGATACACATATTAATTGATGCATATTTTATTGCATTTGAGAAAATGCTTTGAAATGAGTAATAAATACTGTGGGTATAACAGGAAAAAAAATTATCTCCTCTTGATATGCGTAAAGTGACAAGTAAAAATAAAAATCTATTTTTAATATACATGCCAAGTAAAAGTGAACTGAGGGAGTATATTGTAAAAATATATATAAACATAATTTAAGGCCGTGACTACACTCGCAGAGCAACTAGCTAGTCAGTTAAGTTATTTAAGCAAGTTAGTCGGTGTCCATGTGCTGGTAGTTTCTATTAGTAGTAGATTACTTAGAATAAGGAATTTGTACACTCTTCTTCTATACTCTTAGTTCCGAATCATTAAATGAAAATTGCACTAAGTTACTCTGTTATACTCCACTCTTCTTATACTTCACTTTTCTTGTATCATGTTCAACTTAATATGTTCACATCATTTGTTGTTTCTATCGTTGCTGGATTATTGAAGTCAATAACAGATTCACATACTTGCGAGGTGGGAAATGCAGCTGAAGTCAACTGTGGATATCGAAAAAGCACAAAAAAAAGTGATGATTTCGAATGTGAATGTATTTATTCAGTGACCCATAACACTGAATTCACTTATGACTCACTCATCCTAATTTCTTTAATCTTGAATATGCGCTAAGAATGGGATATACATTTTGTCATTTTACGTTTGCAGAGTAGTCTTGTCTTTTTAGGATTAGTAAGGGAAAATCTCCATTTCACCCTCACCAACAGAGGTTAAGTTTTAGCTACTACTATGGAAATAGCCTAACAAGTACGTACTATTTTGTATTGACTTTTAATTAGACATGTTTGGATTGGGCTTCGGTATATCTGACACTATGATTTAACAATCTTGAAAGTCATAAAACTTTATCAGATAAATTCGTTTACCGTCACCAAGTTTCATTTTGCTATATATGGTAATTAACAAGAGCTACGAGTTTGATGTTTTACGTATATTATGTTGTCCGAATAAAGCATGTTGAAAGTGTAGGTATGCCTGAAGCAAAGCTGCTGTAGTATGACTAAAGGACAATTTCAGTACTTAATGGAATAATTCTTTTCCTGATTTCGGATAATTTTTCTTTTTTGGGAAAATGACACTGTACAACCCCTCTTAAAACAATAATAATAAATATTTATTTTTTGTATATATATATATATATATATATATATATATATATATATATATATATATATATATATATATATATATTGGTCGTTGCCTCTCTGCCCTATCGGGGTAGGGGTAAGGTCTGCGTATACATTACCCTCCCCAGACCCCACTTTATGGGATTTTACTGGGTAATTGTTATTGTATTCTGTACGTTATATACAAATTTTATGCACTTTTTCAATCACTGAATATAAATAGTTTTTAGTGCGGGTTAAAAGTTAGGACACCCTTCTTTTGTGGGTCAATGTAAGTCTCCATAGTGTTTCTTGAACAGTGGCCATTAGAGGTGAGATGTCAGTATATATGTTTTTTTCTGTGGTCTTTCCGGGGAAACATAAATAGAGTAGATTTTAGTAATTTTATTACTGTTTTCTATGAGAGCAAATTTTTGCTATGGTATTAGCATTTTATTTATTTCTTTTGTCCCATAAAGAAAGAGCAGCTATTATTTTGCTTGTGCAGCCAACCTTATCTCCTTGTCTTTTCCATTTTATTCTTTTCTTACTTCCTCCGGTCCAAATAAGTAATTTTTTGGTATTTTTTTTGTGGTCCAAAATAAGTAATTTTTTCAGATTTTAAGAATGAATTAATTATTTTTTTCCTACATTGCCCTTGGAGTAAATAGTGTTGGAGTATGATTATGTGAGATAGTAAAGGTTAATATGATCAATTTCATTGCTAATTAATGCTAAAAGATGGATTTTTTAATCTGTGTGAAAACATTCAAAAAATCACTTATTTTGGATCCGAGGGAGTATAAAAATACTAGACGCCAAAATATAGTGAACAAGTGGCTTAACACTAAATTATCTGTTGAATGATTAGCTGGAAAAAAGAAGAAGCTAGATAAGAAGTCTTTTTTTTCCAACTAGATAAGAAGTCCAACATGAAGATTTCTCATCGAAAAAAATTAAAATAATACTTTTATTCACTAGCCAAATAAGTAAACGTAGGATTTTGAACTTAATTTTTACTCACGTGACACTACTACTATTTAAAGAGTAAAATGATAATTATAATTCATCAATATAATTTTTTTAAATATTTTAATTATTAACTAGCGCTCCATTATTTATGATACTTTTATGTAGTTTTATAAATATGTAAATTATATTTAGACTAGTTTAAGGAAATTATGTCTGAATTAACATTATGTGCTTTAGACATTTTTTAATAAACTGGAACAAAAAATTTTAAAAATTGAATTTATTATATTTATTCCGTGGATCTGCCTCATAAATTGTACTTCATCTGTTCCAGTTTATGTGAACCTATTTTCTTTTTGGTCCGTTTCAAAAGAAATGACTCCTTTCTAAATTTGGTAACAGTTTAGCCTAAACTAATTACAATTCTACCCGTAATGAGAAGCTTTTATAACCACACAAATACTCTTTGCCCCTTTTTGACTTATTTATGCTATAAATTCCAAAAGTATTTTTTTTTCCTTATACTCCGTACCGAGTCAAATAGATTCATATAAATTGGAATGGAGGAGTATTAGGAGAAAAGCTTAAGGAAATTATGTCTGAATTCACAAAATGTGCTTTGACATTTTACAGCGTCAATCCTAACGTTTACCATTTGTCCACATTTTCCACGTATAAAAAGGCAAAGGTGAATTATTTTCAGAGCTTTACTGCTTTGCTAATGACGTGCTAAAAAATAATCCTTCTAGTCCAAAATAAGTGATTTTTTAGTCTCTTTTTGTGATCCAAAATAAATAATTTTTTCAGATTTCAAGAATGAATTAATTATTTTTTTTCTATATTGTCCTTGGAATAAATAGTGTTGGAGTGTTTATGTGAGATAGTAAAGATGAATATAGTCAATTTCATTACTAATTAATGTTAAAAGATGGATTTCTTAATCTATATGAAAATATTTTAAAAAAAAAAAATTCTTATTTTTTGAACGGGAGGGAGTATAATAATGGCCTGCAACTCTTTACTCTTATTAATTAATGGTCTAAACCAAACTCTTCCTTTCCCAAAAGTCAAAACAAGATTTTCTCTCTCTACTCTTCATTCCGCCCACGCCTTTCTGCTGCTGGCTGTTGGCTGCTTCAACAAGTAATTCAAATATTTATGCCCTTTTCTTGAATTTTCATCTTTTTTCTCTTGTAAAAAAATTAGCTATTTTACTTGAAGTGATCTTTGAGATTTTTGCGCTTCTTGATTTGTCGATCAGGTTAGTGTTTTCTCTCGTAGCGGATCTAATAACTTAGAATTAGTGGATTTGGAGTACGTACGTTTATTCTATCAATAAAATTTCAATTTTGTTCGTATGGTCCGAGCTTAAAAAAAGTGGTTCTTAATTGATCTGCTGAGCTGCTTTTAAATCATTACTACAATTAGTATATTTGTTATTAAAAGGTTCATTTCTATATTTGGAAACTGTACTTTATTTTTTTATATGGTACGTACTTTCATTTCTTAAATCATTTCTATATTTCTTATAATTTTTTTTTTTAAACTTTTGATTTTGTTGTAGCTGTAGTTATTATTATCTGTTCTTTGTTGCCATGTCCACTTTAATTTGTCTATATGTATTGTTATAGTGATGAAAATGTAGCTTCTGAGCTGTAGGTTCAAAATTATGCTTGTTTGAAAATCTTTTTAGGTTTTTTTGCTGAAATGAAGTGTTAACTTGTTGCTTTGTCATGTCACAGGCTTGGCTGCAGAGTTCTTTTTTTCTGTGAGTTGACCCTAACAGCAGAAGTGTTGTAAAAATGGCTTGTTTTGGTTTCTGCCTAAGAGGGAATGCATCTCCCACACACAACCATCTAACAGAAATTGATGAAGGTTGAAATTTCAAATTTTTATCAACTCTCATTTCTCCTTCTTGTAACTGTTCCCAGCTTCTTTAGAGTTATAATTAGATATTCTTTGCTCTCCTTAAGCATGGAAAGGCATTGCCTTTTCCATAGGTGATTTCTCAATAATGATTCAAGTAGTGATCAATGAAGTGAGAGGAGAACCATGAGGTTTTAGGTTCAAATCCGAGTGGAGGCAAAATAATACTAGGTGATTTCTTCTGATCTGCCTAAGCCTTGGTTGGCAGAATTACCTGGTACCTATGGTGGTGGGAGGTAGCAGGTACCCGGTGGAATAGTCGAGGAGCAGGCAAGCTGGCCCAAACACCATTTTCATTAAAACATGATTTTAGTTGTTTTTTCATTCAATACATGTTAAGATTCCTCACTAGATTTCGAATTGTTGCAGAAATTTCAACCATTGAGAATGCAAGGGTGTATCGCTACAAGGAATTGCGGGCTGCAACTGAAGATTTTTGCCCTGTAAACAAAATAGGCAAAGGAGGGTTTGGTTCTGTCTACAAGGTATTTTATTCTCTACGAAAAGATCTTCAGGTTTTGCAATTGCATTCAATTAGTAAGCTAACTTTATATTCTAATTGTTAGGGGAGGCTAAAAGATGGAAGATTGGCTGCTATTAAGGTACTTTCTGTTGAGTCGAAACAAGGTGTAAAGGAGTTTTTGACAGAAATAAAGGTGATCTCAAGTATAGAACATGAAAACCTGGTGAAGTTGTATGGCTGTTGTGCGGAAGGGGATCATAGAATATTGGTGTATGGCTACCTGGAAAATAATAGTCTTGCTCAAACTCTGCTTGGTCAGTTGAAGTCCTTTGTCATTGTTATTTTTTAACTTTTTCTTTTTCCTTTTCTCTGGTTTGTACTTGTGGCATGGATAGTAAATATTGCTTACTCACAGGTGGTGCCCATAGTAGCCTCCAGTTTAGCTGGAAAACACGAACTAAAATATGCATTGGTGTTGCACGAGGACTTGCATTCCTCCATGAAGAAGTCCAGCCTTATATAGTTCATAGAGACATTAAAGCAAGTAACATCCTTCTCGACAGAGACCTGACCCCAAAGATCTCAGATTTTGGTCTTGCTAAGCTTATTCCAGCTGATATGACCCATGTTAGCACTCGTGTGGCAGGAACTCTGTAAGTTTACAGCTATGCTTTTATATTTTCTTAAACAAAATGCTTTTGGTGTATCCCTTGGTTTGGTGAATTAGATTGAATATGCCATTCAGAAACGATGGGGAATGTTCTGAGGTAAGAACTCCCAAAGAACAAGATGATAACTACTAGTAACAATATTTTTATTTGGGGAGCTTACATTTTCTCACTAGACATTTTATATGGCTTTTATTCAAGCTATTGCTTCCTTTAATACTGCTCTTTACATAATCTTCAGGATCTCTGGGGGGATATACAAGATCAACTTGTCTAATGTGACATTTCCTTGATGGACAATAAATAGATACCAAAGTCTGTTAAGGTTTCAATGCTAAGCTGGCAGTATCAAGTGGTACCTAGAGAGATCAAGCTGATATGGAAAACTAGTCCTCTTTGTATCTTTTGGACTATTTGGCTAGAGAGGAATAGGGCATGGCTTGAGGGGAAAAAGGAACATAATTTTAGAACTAAAAATAGATGTTTACGTAATCTTTACTTTTGGTGTAAAAGCAGTCTGCTAGTTAATCTTGATCAGTATATGAATTTTCTGGATTTATTAGGAAGAAGGATGTAGTAATTTGCTTCTTTTTGGCTTCTGTCTGAGTGATGTACTAGTTTGTACCATCTTGGTACTTTATCAATAAAATCTTACCTTATCAAAAAAATAAAAATAAAATAAATAGAGTCTCACTTAGTTGGATCTAATTTGACGGTGTAAGGCGGAGGAGGGTCTGGCTTGGCTAGAGTGGCATCTTTAATATTTAATGTGGTATCTTACCAATACTTCCATACCTTTTGGCATAGAAAGGTTAAAATATGTGCATTCAGAAACCAACACCAGATCTGGAAAAATTACCTATTTCACACTTTGAGTCTGTGGAAGTTTATTTTTGAATTTACTGTAGTTACTTAAGGTCGTAGTGGTAGACGGGTGAGGCCCGACAGTTCTAATAGGTTTTTCAACTT